AAATGAGTAATCATGCTGTGATCCTAGAAAGGGAAGCTAAATGTTAAGAACACATCAATTATCTTCAAGTCAATTTATACAAATAATATAGTTCCAATCATAATCCAGCCAAAGACACAGATGGATATAAAAGAATATCCCATAAAACGCAAGAACTGGAGGGAGCAGCGTCCAGACTTTACCACGTAATAATACTTACAAAGCAAGAACATAAATTATATTTACTCATTTAAAAAACTGATACCTAGACAAAGAGAAAATACAGAAAGAGACACAATTGCATGGAAGAATATAAATACTGTGATAAAGCAGCCATCATCAAGATAGAAAAAAGAAGTATCATTTATAAATAGTGCTTTTTTTAAGAGAGATTTTTGCTATAGGGCCCACGTGCTCGCTGGAGAGATAGAGAAAGAAAGAGAGATAGAAAGCCAGAAATAACCCCCCGGGGGGGATGGCCACACTGCAATCCTCCATTCCTCTTGGGACTTTGGGCACGTACACGCGCCCGGCATGAGTTTTAAGTTGCTGAGTCTGTTACTTGAACTGTGGCCAACTACGTGGGATTCCAGTGATATAACCATTACACCATCTGCTGGTCCCTATGCTGTACATTTTAAATCAAGGTAAAACCAGATTGCATAAAGTGCTAAGTAATTTTTAAATTTAAAAAATAACATAAACTAGACATCAGAATTCTGAAAATAAAATAAATGAAGGAAAAGAATCAGAGACTTAACTACCTGAAACTATAAAACTGGTACATTTTTTAAAAAGGAGTAAAAGGGGTAGAAAATAAAAATAATGGGAAGAATTATAACATGATGTTCCTGCCTATCCCACCTGCATAAACTGACAGATCGTTAAGGTTAGGACATCAACAGGTAAAGGACACTGGTCACAGCTAGAGGGGACAAAGGGAAATGACTAAAACAACAAGAGAAAGCAGTTACTATGACAGCACTGAGGTGGTAAGTGATTTTCTGAGTTCTTTCATCACAATGTATAAAGATATCAAATGTTAGACAAGCAGTCTCAAGGGGGTGGTAAGGCACTAGAACCAGGTCTGACAACGCAAGCCTCGCACCCCAAGAGGCAGGAAGCTCTCCTGGCATGCCCAGGGCCTAGTTGTGATGCTTCTTTTGTGGTGCTTCAAATTACTAGCAGACTGACAGCCAGCTAGCTTCCAGAACAAATGCAGAGCTCAGGGGGTGTCCAGGCTAAGTGGAAGACCATTCTTTAAGGGAATCAATAAGCAATGTAAAGTCGTGTGCATTCTGTAAATGCCTGTGGCTTGCTGAATCAGGGCATCTGCTTTTTACCACAACCTTTCTTCGATTCAGTTCTTAGCCAAATGTTAAACTCGCAAAGGCCTGGAGTTGTGTACACAATCCACACAATACACTAACCTAGTATTTACATTTGAAACTGTATCATTAAAGAAAAAGTATGCACCAGTTTCTCTTACCACACATCTGCTGTTAATAACAAAGATGCGGAGGTGTAACCTACTTCAGAGCAGGAGACAGAAAAGGAGGAAAACATTCAGACGCCAGAGGCAAGATTTATTTTAGGAATCCTATATAGTCCATGTGTTTAGGAAATCACCTTTCCAAATTTGTTGTTTCCTTCTAAAAATAATTCATGAAGCTTAAGTGGGGATTTAGCCACAAATAATGAGGTGAAACAGGAGTAATTCAGCTACTGGAAACTTAAAGACCCAACTAAAATCACAGAAAAAGAAAAAATGTAAAAAGGTTAATCAGACTACATATACTATGAGCATATTTTTTTCCAAGAGATTTTTGTCTATAGGGCACATTCACTCACCAGAGAGAGAGAGAGAGAGAGAGACAGAAAGTGAGAAATCACTCCCTAGGGGGAATGGCCACACCACAATCCCTTCTTGAGGCTCCATTCTCCTGTAGGGATTTTGGCACATGTGTACATGTGCCCAACTTGAGTTTCAAGTCACCAGGTCTGGGACTCAAGCCACAGTTGACCACAGGGGAGTCCAATGTCTTAACCACTATACCACCTGCTGGTGCCAAGCATTTTTTTAAAATTTGCCAGAGCATACTTATATTCACCAGAGAGAGACAAAAAGGGAGGGGCAGTGAAAAAGCACCTTCACAGGTCATGGGCACGCCTCAATCCCTTCTCCTCCATTTCTCCCTCCTTTTGCGGTCTTGGCATGCACACGCACATGTACGCGCACAAACATGCATACACAGACACACACACACAGTGTTTTTTTCAAGCTGCTGAGTCTGGCATTCAAATTGTGTGGTCAGCCACGTGAGCTCTAGCCACCCTAACTACCACACCACTAGCTGGCCCAAGAACTTTCCTGTAATCATTTGTCAAAATACGTGATTTGACCAAGGAAGTACTTTTCGTACCTGAGTAATTTTTAACTATTTATTCCTTTTTAACCGTTTTAACATTTTATTCCTATTTGGGGCGTGGTGGCGCCCGCCCTATGGCAAAACATTTTATTCCTATTTTATCCTTTCTTTGGCTTAAAGGGGGAAAAAGGCTATTGTTTTACACTTGGAAAGTTTTAGAAACTTCTGAATGAGAAAGTAATTTAAAATGAGTGATTTATTTCCCATTAACATGGCTCAGCAGCATACGATATGAGCTAAGCCAACAGGAACACTTCCTATCACAATCTTGAAACAGCCTCTTCAGCCCAAGAACTTGAATGCTACCACCATTTTAGTGAATGACTCCAGGTTACTATTATATAAAATCTTAAATGAAGGTCTTTTTGTAGGACTTTACTTAATTTTCCATGAAGAGCTTTGAATGTCTGTTTATTTAATTAGGTTGGCAAGATTTGTTTTCAAAGTTTAAACTTTGATTCACCAAGTCTTCTGAGACTTTCAAGCGGAAAGAAGACATAACTTATACAACAGTGTGCTCTCCTCCCTCAATGTCTCCTGGACAAAAAATGTGAACACAGTGGATTCTCTGTGTACATAAGCCTGAGGCAACCAATATATTAAAAAGGCCAGTCATATCATTGTCCTATGGGTTAACAGTATGAAGCAACGTAATACCCAGTAATAAAAGGAGGGTTACATATTTTTGGTTGATCTACTGGGGGAAGAGGATACGGCCATTAATCTGACCACTAGCTTGGCAAATACCGATGGAGCTATGTGCCCTGCTATGTGTCAGCCACTGGAAGACACAGGGTCCCTGTCCTCAGAAATCTGAGTCTGGGGAAGAAGACAGACATTAAACAAATCACTTTATAACTACTGCACATACATAAGTGCAGACTGTGTTATGTGCTATGAAAGAAACAGGGTGTATCAGGTTTTGACTGGAGAGCGGAGCAGTTGCTTAGCTGTAGAAGTAACACGTAAACTACACTCTGAAGGGTGGCAAGTGGCACCCTGAGCCCTAAGAGTGGGGAAGTGGGGTGTATTCCGGGCAGGATTAGTATGTGCAATGGCCGTAGTGTGAGGAAGAAAGGGTAAGAGTGGACATCAGGTAAGGGTCCCCTGGCGTAGTGCAGGTATGAGAGAAAGGGTTTGGACAAGAATGGTAATGAAGGAGGTGGTGACAAAAGGGCAGATGAAAATGTACCCAGTAGAAAATTGACAGGCCTTGAAAGTCAGGATTGATAGAGACAGAGAGAACCTGGTACAACATGAAAAAATAAGTAGGAAATAATGTTTTAATTTTAAAAAGGCTGGCCTGTAGCCTAGTGGTTAAGGGAGCTGGATCCCACATGGTCCAACACAGTTGGACTCCTGACCCCAGCAGCTTGAAAACCACACCAGGCTCAGGTGCGTGCTATGTCCCAAACCCCAACAAGATGGGGAAATGGTGGAAAGGAACTACAGCAGCAGGAACTACCCTCCCTTTGGAGACATTTTCTCCCTTTCTTTCTCTCAGTGGAAAGTGCACATACCCTTTGGCAATTAAGAAAAAAAGTTAAAAAATATTTTTGGAGAGATTTTTGCTATAGGGTGTGTGTGCTTGCCAGAGAGACAGAGAGAGAGAAATCATCCCCTAGGGGGATGGCCATGCCACAATCCCATCTCCTCCATTCTCCTCTTGAAATCTTGGGCACACAAGCGCATGCACTCAACATGAGTTTTAAGTCACTGCGTCCAGAACTTGAACTGCAGTCGACTATACGGGAGTTCAGTGACATAAACATTACACCATCTGCTGGTACCAAAATAATGTTAAAAGGACTCCAATGATATTTGATTCAACTAAAAAAGAGGGGGGAGGGAACCAGCAGTTAGCGTAATGGCTATGTCGCTGGACTCCCACGTAGTCGACCGCGGTTCGTGTCCCGGACCCGGTGGCTTAAAACTCACGCCGGGCGCGTGTGCGTACGTGCCCAAGATCCCGAGAGGAGAATGGAGGAGAAGGGATTGCGGCGTGACCATCCCCCCTGGGGGGTGATTTCTCGCTTTCTATCTCTATGTCTCTCTCTGTCTGTCTGGCAAGCGCACGTGCCCTACAGTGAAAATCTCTCCAAAAAAAAAAAAGAGGGGGGAAAAAGTGTGTGTGTATGTGTATGTGTACATATATATACATATACATACATACATGGATTTGGGAAGAGTGAAACTGGAATTGGGCTTATGCTATAATGTGACATTCCTTCTATACTTGTAAAAACACTCCTCATAGAATCTATCACTAAATTATGATATATATAACTGACACATTCAGTAACCACTAAAAATTCTGACCAAAGCTTGTAACTATACACACACATGCATATGATTATGATAAATAAATTTAAAGTGCAAGATATATAATTGCAGATACAACATGATCAAGCTATATTTTTTAGAAAGCTAAACATTTCAGTACTTCCCGTTTGCTAAGAAAATAACATTAAACAATTAGAAAAGGAAATCAAACAAATGTAAAAATATAATCATAATGATGACACATGCAAAAGGGATCAATATAAATACATTTCTGTTAAGTACCAATGCCAGGATATGAATTGCTTTTACCTTTCTTTAATGAATGTAATGCTGAGGTGAAGAAGGTCAAATAGCCAGGAGGCTGGGGTGAGCCACTGAACTCAAAGTACCCGAGTACTCCAGGCTGCAAGAACAAGAGCAGAATTAGGCAAAGGAGAGGCACCATCAGCTACAGGGTAATAAAGGACGCTGAAAACATGATGTTTAATTTGAGAGTGAATGCACGTTGTTGTATTCCATTTTTAAAAAGCCTAACCACATAAGAAAGGCTGCAGGTTGGGGTGAACTTCCTCTCAAACGGGTTGCAGTTTTTTTTGTTTGTTTGTTTTTTCTTTTGAGAGGTTTTTGCTATAGGGCACATGCGCTCGCCAGAAAGACAGAGAGAGACAGAGAAAGAAAACGAGAAATCACCCCCAGGGGGAGGATGTCCTCGCTGCAATCCCTTCTCCATTCTCCTCTCGGGATCTTGGGCACGCATGCACACGTGTCCAGTGTGAGTTTAAGCCACTGGGTCCAGGACTCAAACCGCAGTCGACTACACAGGAGCCCAGCAACATAGCCATTACACCAATTGCGGTCCCTGAGCTGCAATTTTTTATAGGATAGCACAGTGGTTATATAAAAGAGGACATTTCTGACCTGTAGTGGAGTATATTATCTTCCAACAAAACTAATTGATTATTTCCATAAGATCCGACTTCAAATAAACCAATTGGTTTTCTGACTTAGAAACTGACATGAAATGTTGAATCCTAACATCTAAAAAGGGCCAACAAATAACCAACTTCTCAGACAACTGAAGAAATCAGAAAGACAAGTTACTGAAAATAAGATTTTCCTTTGCCCAACTCCTTCAGAATAGTTTTAACAAGCCAACCTAAAACTGGCTTGAAGTAGCATTATATATTATTTGAGTTCTTAAAATTTCAAACCATTCTGGGGCCAGCAGGTGGCATAGTAGTTAAGGTGCTGGACTCCCACATGACCAACTGTGGTTCGAGTCCTGAACCTCTGAGGGCTTGCCTTCTCACTCTCCCTCTCTCTCTCTCTCTGTCCCTTCTCTGGTCAAATTGAAGAATAATAATAAATAAATAAAATTAAATAGAAAAACTGTTAAAAAAGCATGAGGCTTTCCTATCACAAACAATAAAAAGACAAAATATTGACAAATCACTTAGTTACTATTGGACATAGATAACAAAAACAGATACTAATTGAGAGAAAAAAAGAAAGCTCATTTTAAGTTTTCTTAAATTCTGACCAATCTCCCAAACCAAAAAAACTCAATGGAATAAATTCATTCTAAACATGAATAAACTATCTATAGCAGGGCCGGCAGGTGGCATGGTGGTTAAGGCATCTGGACATGGCTGACCACAGTTCGAGTCCTGGATCTGGCAGCCTGCTTTCTCACTTTCCTTCTCTCTTGCTGTCTCTCTCTGGTCAACTTCAAAAAAATGAAATATAGGGGCCGGCAAGTGGCATGGTGGTTAAAGGCGCTGGACTCCCACATGGCCGACTACGGTTCAAGTCTCGGACCTGGTGGCTTGCTTTCTCACTTCCTCTCTCTCTATCTCTCTCTGGTCAAACTGAAAAATAATAATTATAATAATATTTTAGTAGTTTTCTCATATCATGTTATTTTAAGTGGCTTCATGAAAAGTCAGCATGTGGACTATAAACATGTATTTAGACCCAATTACAATAAGGAGGTTGAAAATAGGCTATTATGGAAGGTCAGCAAATCCTAGTCAGCATAAGAATATTCCTTTCACAAGTGGACAGCCTTTGTAGCACAGTATAGTATTAACTTCAACAGATAGTGTGTACACCCCCTAGTGGCCAAGAGAATAGTTGCCCTGGTGCAACTTGATTTAATAGCACTTGAAGTACTTCTGCACTGTTAATTTATAGCTAGAATATATAAAACTAGATTTACAGTTCTACAAAAAAAGGCATGTATTTTCTCAACATTCAGACAAATTTTTACTTACAAACGATATAATGGTAACACCAAATGACAAGAATTTAAGGTTTTCTCAAAAATGCTCATTTTCTGTCACCTATCAATTTACTATCTTCCCTCAATTCACATACCCCCTCAAAGATTCCCACTTAAATTTAAAATAGTTTTTGGACAAGCAGGTAGCACAGAGGTTAAGGTGGCTAGATCCCACATGACCAACTGCACAGTTTGAGTCCCAGACCCAGTGGCTTGAGAAACACTCCAGGTGCAAGTGTGTATGAGCCTGAAATACTGACAGGAGATGGGCAGGGAGGAACACAGTACACAAGAAAGAGTGGCCAGAGCCGGAAGCCTGGGTGCAGTCCAGTCTCCACCTTGGGTAAATCACCCTCTCTGTCCCTTAGCTTCTTTTTTTTTTTTTTTTTGGAGAATTTTTTCGCTATAGGGTGCGTGAGCTCGCCAGACAGACAGAGAGAGACATAGAGACAGAAAGCGAGAAATCACCCCCCAGGGGGGATGGTCACACCGCAATCCCTTCTCCTCCATTCTCCTCTAGGGATCTTGGGCACGTACGCACACGCGCCCAGCGTGAGTTTTAAGCCACCGGGTCCGGGACACGAACCGCAGTCGACTACGTGGGAGTCCAGCGACATAGCCATTACGCTAACTGCTGGTTCCCCGTCCCTTAGCTTCTTAACTGCTCAAAGAATCGACAACTTCTATGAACCTCACACAGCCGCTGGGAAGATCGGAGGTAAACGTACTTGGAAACCAAAGGGTATTTACCACCGTATAGTTATTCTTCATTTCTTTGTTAATAATGATTAAAGTATTTCAGAACTGACATGTACTTCCAATTTTCACCCTTTAATGTCTTTCTGTGGTATTTCAGTAAGTTAAGGGAAAAACTGTTTTCACAGAGTCTTATTTTACAAACATAAAACTATTGCTAACGATTAGTAATTTGATTTGGCTAGGCTTGAGATAAATCAAAGTATTTCCCATTGGTTTAAAGCTTCTATATATATGAAACTAGAAATGGAAAATTATTAACGATAATATGTATAATTAAGTCACTATGCAGTATATTCTGGATGGGCACTGGACTCCCACATGCTAGAGTCTTATTTTACAAACATAAAACTATTGCTAACGATTAGTAATTTGATTTGGCTAGGCTTGAGATAAATCAAAGTATTTCCCATTGGTTTAAAGCTTCTATATATATGAAACTAGAAATGGAAAATTATTAACGATAATATGTATAATTAAGTCACTATGCAGTATATTCTGGATGGGCACTGGACTCCCACATGCTGACCCTGGTTAGAGTCCCAGACCTGGCAGCTTGCTTATATATATATATATATGTACACACATACATTACATATATAAGGATATAAAGCTTTTTATGAAAATGAGTATTTTTCATAGTGAGATTTCTTTAACAGCAAGCTTTCTTGGGAGAATATTTTTTAGAGAAAAGAAATAGTTTAAGTAGTATCAGGGACAGCTCTGTTGATGACAATCTAACTCACCCCTGGCTCTAGTCACTCACAGTTAACATTCCAGAATTATTGAATCAAGGTACTGTTCAATTTTCATCTTCTCTCTACTTCCCACCATTACATAAACTTTCAACTGTTAGATTGTGGCCTTCTGAGTGCCACATGAAAAACGGTGCTGGAGGGAACCAGCAGTTAGCGTAATGGCTATGTCGCTGGACTCTCACATAGTCGACCGCAGTTCGTGTCCCGGACCCGGTGGCTTAAAACTCACGCCAGGCGCGTGTGCGTGCGTGTCCAAGATCCCGAGAGGAGAATGGAGGAGAAGGGATTGCGGCGTGACCATCCCCCCTGGGGGGTGATTTCTCGCTTTCTGTCTCTATGTCTCTCTCTGTCTGTCTGGCGAGCGCACGCGCCCTACAGTGAAAATCTCTCAAAAAAAAAAAAAAAAAAAAAAACGGTGCTGGAGTGTCTGTAGGAACAACTGTGACCCATCATCTTAAGACTTCACTCAGAAAAACTGAATCTAAATTTAGAGCAGCTGTCCTTAAGGGAGGCAGTTTTGTTCTCCCCCTCCCACCCCCCACTTCCACCACTCAAGGAACATTGGGCAAATCAGGTGATTCTGTAACAACTGGGAGAAGGGAGTGCTTCGGGCATCCAGTGGGCAAAGGTCAGGGGCACTGCCACAAATCCTGAAGAGCACAGGACTGCCCCCACAACACAGAATGATGTGGCTCCAATGTCAACTGTGCAAGATTGAGAAACCCTAATTTAGCTGAATATCCAAAACCATACTGCATTCTAAGCTGCCCCCCCAATTCCTTTAACTTTCCTATTTATCCATCTATTAAAACCACGACAGTGGGAACCAGTTCTTAGCGTAATGGCTATGTCGCTGGACTCCTACGTAGTTGACCGCAGTTCGCGTCCCAGACCCGGTGGCTTAAAACTCACGCCGGGCGCGTGTGCGTGCGTGCCCAAGATCACGAGAGGAGAATGGAGGAGAAGGGATTGCAGCGTGACCAATCCCATGTGGGGGGTGACTTCTCGCTTTCTGTCTCTATGTCTCTCTCTGTCTGTCTGGCGAGCTCACACGCCCTATAGCGAAAAACCTCTCAAAAAAAAAAAAAAAAACCACGACAGTGACTGCTTCTTTGGATCTAGAATGCTGACTTTGTATTCTCTTACAGGGTGTGTATGAAATTCGAGCAGCTTCTTTAGGCTATACTAGTCAGTATATTTCACAAATGCCAGGCTAGGCTTGACTCCTAGTTCTTTCACAAGTAATCAAATACTGTCTCTTGCCAACCAGTTTTAGCTCAGTGAAAAACCCAGAAAAGATGACACTAACACGATAACAGCTACTGGGAGGAAGTTTCTGGGAAGAAGCCATCTCACTGGCTGACAGATGTAATCGAGGGGTCCCACCTTGGCGGCACTCTGGATGCTGTCTTAAAGACAGTCTAATCATCGTATATCATTCTAATTAAAGGGGTTGCCAAAAACCAACAGTGAGTGATGTTACCCGCTTATCAGAGAGTCTGACGTCAACTCCACATCAATACTTGCAGTGTAACTGCTTTCTTCATTGCTATTGCCAGACAGCATGTGTACTCGTGCAAGACAGAAAAAGGGAGCAGGAAGAGGAAGCCTGTGAAGGAGTGTGCTCCTGCTGCATCCCTTCTCCTCCATTTCTCCAGTCTGCCAGGATGCTGGGCTCCTACAGACACGCACCCAATGTGTTTGTCAAGTCACTGAGGCCAGGATTCAAACTGTGTGATTGGCCATGTGCGGTCTGGCTCCCTTAACCACCAGGCCATAGGGCCAGTCCTAGAGTATATCATTTTTTAAAAGAATTATTTATTTAATTATTATTATTATTTTATTTGTCCAGAGACACAGAGTGGGGGGGCAGGGAGAGGGAGAAAGTGAGAAAGCAAGCCACCAGGTCCATGACTCAAACCATGGTCAGCCATGTGGGAGTCCAGCGCCTTAACTACCACACCACCTCCCAGCCCTCACCCTGGAGTATAATCTTTTAAAGTACCGCTAAAAAGTAAATCCAGGGCCAACAGGTGGCATGGTGATTAAGGATGCTGTACTCCCATGTGACCAACCATGATTCAAGTCCTGGACCAGCAGCCTGCTTTCTCACTTTCCTTTTCTCTCTCTTTCGCTTTCTTGCTCTGTTTGCTGTTCCTCTCTGGCCAAACACTCAAATATATATACATATATATATGAATAAAATAAAATAAAATACTTCTTCTTTTGGGGGGGAGAGGTTTTTGCTATAGGGCACGAGCGCTCACCAGAAAGTCAGAGACAGAGAGACAGAGAGCAAGAAATCACCCTCTGGGGGGATGGCCATGCCGCAATCCCTTCTCCTCCATTCTCCTCTTGGGATCCTGGGCACACACTCATGCACCCGGCCTGAGTTTAAGTCAACAGGTCTGGGATTCGAACTGTAGTCAACTACATGGGAGTCCAGCAACATAGCCATTGCGCCAACTTCTGGTCCCCTGCCCCTTTTTCTAATAAAATAATTCTAAAAAAAAAAAAAAAAAATTAAATCCATAGAATGCAAAGACTACACATGAGCCATCACCTTGCTGCTCAGTCATAAATACACACTCGACTCTCTTACAGATGCAACTAGAGAGAACATTAGGAACATTCAGGCAGGGGCCACCAGATGGTGCAATGGTTACACTGCTAGACTCCCACCCACGTGACCATGGTTTGAGCCCCAGACCTGGCAGCTTAAAACTCAGGTCTGGTGCGTGTGCATGCGTGTCCAAAATCCCAAGAGAAGAATGGAGGAGAAGGGACTGGGGCATAGCCATCTCTCCTGGGGGGCGATTTCTTGCTTTCTGTCTCTCTGTCTCCCTCTGTGTCTCTGGTGAGCGCACATGCCCTATAGCAAAAGTCTCTCTTCAAAAAAAAGAAAAGAACAAGAAAAAGAAAAAGAAAAGAAAAAGAAAGATAGGAAACACTGAAGCAGGGCCAGCAGGTCGCATGGTGGTTAAGGGCACTAGACTCCCACATGGCCGACCATGGTTTGAGTCCTAGACCTGGCGGCTTGCTTTCTCACCTTCTCTCTCTCTCACTCTATTCCTCTCTGGTCAAATTAAAATAATTTTTTCTATGATGTCATTTTTGCTAATAAGTTTTTACTTACTGAGTCTACATCCTAGCATTTTCTGTCTTGCCCTGTCTACCCGTTTTACAGATGAGGAAATCCAGGCTTACCAAGGTTAAATAGCTAGCTCTAGGCCACAGCTAACCAGTGACTGGGCTGAGCTTTGACTCCTGTCTTCTTGACTCCTGCCTCTCAGCCAGTTTGTTATACCACCTTCAGTGACTGCCTGTCACCTACTGCAAATCCATATGAAATCTTACTTGTCACAACATGTTGCACTTAAGGGATTAAAAACTCAACCCTGGGGACTAGCAAATGGCATAATGGTTACATCACTGGACTCCCACAATTCTAAATTGTGAGTGAAGTCTAGATTCGTATGATTTTTCTCATTTTATAGTCTTGATTTTGTCGTTCCTCATTTTTATTTGTTCTAGCCAAGGATCAATCTACATTTGTCCCAGTGAATTTTTGCTTCTACCCATGACAGAGTGCATGTGCATGCATGAGAGCAGCAGCCTCCACCAGGTTCGGTCACGCCTGTGTCCCCGGTCCCTCCAGTCCTCTAGCTGGCCAGGATTCTGGGCCCAGGCATGTGTACCTGGTATTTTTAGGCCAACCAGCCAGGGACTCAAGCCAAGGCTCCAGCTCAGCAGTCTAGCACACTACTGATGCACCACAGAGGCTAGGCCTTCAGTGGCTCTTTCTGTGGGACTCCTGATATGTCTGTAAATTCTGGGATGATTTAATAATCTCAACAACACACTTCACGGAACCCGGGTCAGGCAGTGGTGCAATAGTAATGCAACTGGGACCACAGGAAAGGCCCAAGGTTCACGGCCCAGGACCTGCTGTGGACACTGGGCATACACGTGTGCATGGGATCCAGGCCAGCCGAGACAGGGTGGGTTGTGGGGTGAAGACTTCATTGGAGGTGACTCCCCCTCTATCTCTGCTTCTCTCTCTCTCTTTGCCTCTTTCTCTGTCTCTCTCTTCCCTTCTCTCTCTCAGAAGAAATAAATAATTAAACTTCTAAAAGTCTATAAAAAAGTTTATCAGGGGTTGAAGGTGGCAGTGGAGAAACATCAGAGAAGCCATGTTAGGAAAGTGAGGAGACATTCTCTAAATACAACCTTGAAATAGTTACGCACTTAATGAAATGAAATAAAAAGGAACATAGTTCCAGTTCAAAAAAAAAAAAAAAAACAACGAGCTAAACTACAACAGACAAGAAAAACCAGGTATCTCATAATATAATGCTATTACAAGGCATCAAATAACACCCTCAGAAATTTGCAGCTACATAAATACTGTACATTAATTCTCATGTACTCTAAATTAACAGTAAGATGAGCTGAAAGCATGTTGAAAACTCCCAAACAAAATAACAGACAAGATTTTGCAAGTATTCTATTCTCTTAAAACTCACTTGGCCAAATGATCCTTATGATCACTATCACGAAAAGCATTTCATTAGAATTTATCTACAGTGTAAGCTTTAAATTCCGGCAATTCAGAAGGTATTCATAAAATAAACTTTCAAACAATCCAACATGATCTGGTGGAAAGCCTTGGTAACAGAAGAGATATGAAAGATAAGTACCTCGTAGTTTGAGAGAAAATCTAGTAATTCTGATTGAGATGGGATGTAGAGAAGTGGTTTCATCACCCGGCGGACAAACTTCTCAATGTAAACAGCACTCATGGGGCCTTTGTACTCGATTGGTCCAAAACTAGTACCAAAAAAATAAAAATTAAAAAATAAAAACAATACACCGTGCATTAAACTGGTAATGTAAAACTGAAATCATCAACACCACAAAATGAAAATGTCTCACTTAGGACCCATCCAATTCAGGGAGAGGCTGGTTCACTGCTCAGGGGCTGAGCGCTCTAAGCAACAAGGGATACAAGGAGCCATCACCTTCTATGAACTTAATTCAATCACAAACAAAATTTCCAAAGAACACTCATTCTAGGCTCTGAAAAAACAAAACTAATTCCCACAATATTTCTTTAAAACAAAACAAACAGTGGCCCTAGAAACTAAACTCCTGCTATAGGATCTCAAGATCTGAACCACACAATACAGCGTAGGTGGGCAGACTCTGCTTGTACCTGTCATTCTGAAATAAGGAACAAGTTGAGCATTTGGTCCTTGGCCTACTAAAGAGTACTTACTAAATATCTCCACTGACACCTACACAGAGGATCGCTAAATAAATCTTAAAAAACTACCTAAAGTGGGGCCAACAGGTGGCATGGTGGTTAAGGCACTGGACTCCCACATGACCAAATATGGTTCAAGTCCTGGGCCTCGTGGCTTGTTTTTGTTCTCTCTCTCTCTGGTGAGTGCATGTGCCCTATAGTAAATTTAGTAACATTGAGGGACCCGCAGTTAGCATAATGGCTATGTCGCTGGACTCCTATGTAGTCAACCACAGTTCAAGTCCCAGACCCGGTGGCTTAAATTCGCACAGGGTGCATGTGCGTGCATGCCCAAGATCCCAAGAGGAGGGGAATGGAGGAAAAGGGATTGCAGCGTGGCCATCCCCTCTGGGGGGTGATTTCTCGCTTTCTGTCTCTCTCTCTCTCTCTCTCTCTTTCTGGGAAGTGCATAAGCCCTATAGCAAAAACTTCTCCAAAAAGAAAAAGAAAATGTAGTAACATTAATTAATAAAATTAAATAAATAATTCTTTAAGAATCATTTTATTTAACTTTATTATTATTATTAAACCAGAGAGATACACAAATAGAGAAAGAGAGAGAGAGGGAAGGAGGGAGGGGGGAAGGAAGGAAAAAGAGTGAGAAAGCAAGCGGCCAGGCCCAGGATTCAAACTGTGGTCAGCCACGTAGGAGTCCAGCACCTTAACCATGATGCTACCTGCCGGCCCCAGTAATTATTTTTAAAAACTACTAAACTATTTAAAGTATTATTGCAACAACAACAAAATTATATGAAGGTATAAAGTTAAGGCCTTGTATGAAAAACATTTCAGTTGTGCTTGATTTCAGTTGGGGATACATGGGAATTTGATTTAGTATTGTTAAGTAATACCACCATCATTCACTTATCCTGCCAGGCAAATCAGAGTTCTTACATGGCTCTCTCCACTCTCACACGCACATTGCTCATATATGACTGAGTGGTAGATAACTGGGGCAGGGATGCAGTAAAATTCAGCAACTGCAAAATCACCCCTCTCAAAACAGAAATTGACAGTAAGCTTATTGTTAATAGCAACAATAGGCAGAACACAGTGAAGAATTACATAAATCCTGAGTTCACAATACTCTAACACATGGTTCCAGAAATTCACATAGGTAACACGATGAGATAAGCACAATAATTCAGTGTGCCCTGCAGAATATGATACTGAAGGAATAACAACATAAAAAAGTAAAAACAGCATTCTATATGTACAGCTGGGAAACAGAGTTAAGATTTCTATCAATTCAAAATTCCTTGGGTAAGGGCCGGCAGGTGGTGTGGTGGATAAGGGTGCTGGACTCCCACATGGCCAACCATGGTTTGAGTCTCGGACCTAGTGGCCTGCTTTCTCACTCCCCTCCCCCCTGTGTCTTTCTGGTCAAATTAAAAAATAAAATGAATGAATAAATTAATAATTCTTTAAAAAAAAAAAAAAGAAAGAAAAGAAAAGAAAGATTCCTTGGGCCAAAAGGTGGCATGGTAGTTAAGGGCACTGGACTCCCATACAGCCGACCGTAGCTCAAGTCCCAGATCTGACAGCTTGCTTTCTCACTTTCCCCCTCTCTCTGTCCTTCTCTGTTCAAATTTAATTAATTGATTGATTGATTGTCAATAACATAATTCTTGAGACTAGCAGTTAGCGTAATGGCTATATTGCTGAACTCCCATGTAGTCGACCACGGTTTGAGTCCCAGACATGGTGACTTAAATGCACGCCGGGCGCGTTTGTGTGTGTGCCCAAGATTCCGAGAGGAAATAGAGGAGAAGGGACTGCAGCGTGGCCATCCCCCCGGGGGGTGATTCCTCACTTTCTGTCTCTCTGTCTCTCTCTGTCTTTCTGGTGAGTGCATGCATCCTACAGCAAAAACCTCTCAAAAAAATTTTTTTTTTAAAATATTTCTATCAATTCAAGATTCCTACAAATTAGTTAGAAATCAGCACCACCACTTCCAATCCCCTCACCACTCACTTTTTTTTTTTTTTTGGGGGGGGAGGATTTTGCTATAGGGCACGTGCACTCACCAGAAAGACAGAGAGAGACAGAGAGACAGAAAGTGAGGAATCACCCCCCGGGGGGATGGCCACGCTGCAATCCCTTCTCCTCCGTTCTCCTCTCGTGATCTTGGGCATACAAGCACACACGCCCAGCGTGAGTTTAAGCCACAGGGTCTGGGACTCAAACCATGGTCGACCACATGGGAGTTCAGCAACATAATCATTATGCCAACTGCTGCTCTCACCACTCACTTTTTACTTAAAGAATTATTTTCTTTAACTTTATTTATTTTAATTTGACCAGAGAAGAACAGAGTGAGAGAGAAAGTGAGAATGCAAGCCGTCAGGTCTGGGAATCAGACTGCTGTGGGCCACGTGGGAGTCCAGAGCCCTTAACCACCATGCCACCTGCAGGCTCCTCATTTTTTATCTATTTTATTTATTTATTTTTTTTAGAGGTTTTTGCTATAGGGCGCATGCGCTCACCAGAAAGACAGAGAGAGACAGAGAAACAGAAAGTGAAAAATCACCCCCCGGGGGGATGGCCATGCCACAATCCCTTCTCCTCCATTATCTTCTCAGAATCTTGGGCACTCATGCACACTTGCCCAGTGTGAGCTTAAGCCACCATGTCCGGGATTCGAACCGTGGTCGACTACATGGAGGTCCAGGGACATAGCCATTACACCAACTGCTGGTCCCTCATCACCCATTTTTAACTTAAAGAAAGAAATCCAAAAGCATCCAATAACCTGTTTAGCAAAAAGGAGCCAATCAACCTATTGGGTTGTCGGAAAAGTCATGATGTATTTTTCTGTTTTTCTATGCAAAAATGAGCCAAGACTTTTCCAACAACCTAACAGAAACCTCATCTACTCACACAAATAGGCCTTGCTGAGTTTTCTTGTGTGATGTTACAAGAATACTGGGACTTGTAAAAGCTACTGAGACCCTTGGGCCAGAGAGATGGCATGGTGGCTAAGGTGGCTGGATCCTACGATTCCCAGATCTGGCGGCTTGGAAAATATGGCAAGCACATGTGTATCTGTGCTCAAAATCTCGAGAGAAGAATGGAGAGAACGGACTGCAGCATGGCCATCCTCCCAGGGGACATTTTCTCTTTCCTTCTGTCACTCTCTGTCTCTCTCCAGCAAGTGTGTATGCACCCTATAGCAAAAACAAACAAACAAACAAACAAACAAAAAACTATATATAGGGACCAGCAGATGGTGTAATGGTTACATTGATGATGGACATCCACATGGCCGACCATAGTTCGTGTCCTGGACCCAGCAGCTTCAAACTCACACCAGACACATGTACATGCATACCCAAGATCCCAAGAGGAGAATGAGAAGGGACTGCAGTTGGGAACCAGCAGTTAGCATAATGGCTATGTCGCTGGACTCCCACGTAGTCGACCGCGGTTCACGTCCCGGACCCAGTGGCTTAAAACTCACGCCAGGCGTGTGTGTGTGCGTGCCCAAGATCACGAGAGGAGAATGGAGGAGAAGGGATTGCGGCGTGACCATCCCCTCTGGGGGGTGATTTCTCGCTTTCTGTCTCTCTGTCTCTGTC